TACTAAAACTTGAAAAAGGGACACATTATTTTGGAAAAGAGAGTCACCTAATCAACTACTTTCAAAACTTTCATCATTCATCTAATATAAAGTTTCCTGGAAATTACAGACCCTCGTCTGTTAATATGACTCTGTCAATCCGACGTCTACTCATATGCTACAAAAAGGTATCAGAGCTTAGTTTCCAGAGTTGCGTAATAGTTAATAGAATCTCTGTTTATGACTGATTGTTTTAAGAATTTTGGAAAACAACTTTTCACAATGTCTACTTTAACTCCTCAAGCACTAAATTCCCAATTTACTATTTCTATTCTTCCTAAATCTAAAGGTCGTTCTTCATCTTCCTCCTCTAATATAAGTTCGTTATATGAAGTCGAATATATACCAGGAGATAAATTACCAGAAACTACTCTTCCTTTAGTAAATTCTTATAAATATTTTTCCAAAAAACCTAGCGCCTTCTCCGTCTAAGGGGTTCGCGAACTTATCTCACCATCTTCAAGTCGAAAAGTCATGGAGTACATTCAATCCAACAAGTTCTCATCCTGCCAAGTTCCAGCAACAGAAGAATAACAATTCATTTCCCTCAACATCCCATCAGATCTACCCAAAATGTGGCAGCAACAAGGCTTTACTCACCTTCATTTTGGAGTCGTTGGGACTTGGTCTGACCCTACACGCCATAAAAGGTCTACCAATCACTGCTCGTATAGCTTTAATCGACTCACAATTGAAATCATACCAACAAGCATGCATTGGAACAGTATAGACAACATTAATAAGCATCCCATCCCAATATGAGATCTTTCTTTGGCGTTGTAAATCCTAGTATCTCTATAGAGATTCGGCATCCGGAGAAAAGCTCGATAATGATTGGTTTTGACTTGAGTTTGATGGTTAACGCGCCAGCATTTGCAACATGAAATTCTTGTTGGTGGGGTAGCCACATTGAAGGTGAGAGATGATTACATCCAGCACCATTTGAATTGGTGAAGCAACGGGCCAGCAGTAATTATATGGGCTACGTATTTGAAACATAAGTACATTGGGCTTAAAGCCATATGGACTGTATGATACGAATAATAGTGTTCAAAGGCTTTGAATCTTAAAGAAGACCCGAGTTTAAGTCTTCAAGAATACTCGTTTTTGAATTATATACTTCAAGTCATCAAGAGGGCTTAGAATCTGGACGAACAGTAGTGTTTTTACACTGATTAGCAATGTAAAAACAGTATATTGTTGCTTACGTTTAATAGATATTTAGAAAAGTGCATGTATAAGCAACAATATACGTTTCTCTTTAGAAAAAAATATACGTTGTATTGACCAAAACAGGATCTTTGAAAATAAAACACACACACACACATATTTATAAATGGCCATGCCTAATAATTGTATCATGTCATGTACGAACAATAATAGCCGATCGTTAGTGATGAGATCGTATTTTTTCTATTATATTGGTTTCAAATTAAACAAATCGGGAGAAACAGCCAAATAGCCAATGATTTTGAACAAGTGTGGAGGTTCCGTTCACATATTCGGGAAGAATAGGACAGCCGATAGTGGGATAATTTAATTTTGTTGATGTTTGTGTTTCGTTTTAATATTTATACTAGGATAAGATCCGTGCCTTGTAAGGGATAAAATTTTATTATGTTTTGGAAATAAAAAAAAAATTCGGTTTCAGCTAGATTAAGGATGTTCAATCTGGATATCGGGTTTCAGTATTTTGGTTATTAAAATATAACTACTATTCTAAATTCATATTTACTTCAGTTTGATTTGGTTTATATATTAGTTTTCAGTTTATTCAATTTTATACCAAAATACATCATTATTTAGTTTGAAATCATATTATATATTATAAAAATAAATCATATGATCATATTTAGAAAAGTCATTTACTAAAAAAATATTATATATTTAACTAAAAGAATAATAAAAAAGGCTTCTATGATCTAATAAAATGATCAAATCTAGAACTAATATCAAATCTCTAAATTTTGAAAATAAAAATAAAAACAAAACAGAAGCATGAAAGAAAAGTTTTTATATTCTTCCATATTTAATGTTCATCAAATTAATATGTCTTCGACTGAACACAACTCTGTTTGTTTAAAGATTAAAAAAATTGTAAAGAATTTTAACTAAATGTTGTCCATCAAATTTATAATTTTTACTTCAATTTAGTTTTTATTAAAAAAAAGAAAAAAAGAAAAAAAAAGACGAAGAAAATAAGAAGCCTCAGTTGCATTAAATTGTTAGTTAATTATATTTCAAGTGATTCAAGTGATTTACAAATCATAATTATAGTTCAACTCATGTAACAAATAGATATACATATTTACATGTTTCAGTTTAATCGATTATAAATCAAATCATATCCAAATCTTACGGTTTTTATAAAATCACATACATTCGATTTGTATGGTATATACCAAAAATAACCATATTATCGATTGTGTTAATATCTTTAAAAAATAGAAAATTAAAAAAAAAAAATAACTAATATATTTAAACCATTGATAACAAAAAATTTCAATGTGAAAAATTTAATATGTTTATAATTTATAAAGGTTCTTGAAAATTCATTGAAATTTTTGAAATTAAAATAAGTATGTAATCTTATATGGTATATAGTTTAATCTATATATATATATATATATTTTTTTTTTATTATTGAATGATATTTTTTACTCATATGGTTTTAAAATCATGTGTATCTTTTTATAATAAAAATGTTAAACTATTGATTAATTTTTAACATAATAATTTTAATAGTTTTAGTCATTTATTCTTGGTTTTTTAATTTCAAAATATAACATATACGAAAAAAATCTAAAGTTTAATTTTATAGCTAATTTGATTGTTTGATTTATTTTAATAATATAAAATTAAAGAAAAATGATGGAGGAGATAAAAATTGTTATCAAATATTTATTATTAGAAACATTAATTGTCATATATATATGGACATTAATTGTCAAATCATGGACTCTTTTTTAATTATTACAAAATTGAAGTTACAATTTTTCAAATATTTCTCAATTAATATATAGGGGATAGCTGGTGCTTGCGCTAGTCTGTGACATAACATAAAGTTTTTTATTTCTCGCCAACATAAAGTAAACTCAAATAGTAAAGATTAGGGCTGGGCATTCGGGGTCCCAATCGGGTTTCGGTTCGGGTTCATTCGGGTTTTGGGTTTTCGGGTTCATGAATTTCAGCCCCATTCGGATATAATAAAAATTCGGGTCGGATTCGTTTCGGGTTTAATCGGGTTCGGTTCGGATTTAGTAACATGTCCAAAATCCAGTTGAACCCGAAATAGTTTCGGTTTCAGATACTTATTGGGTTATCGATTCTAAAAATACTAATTTATACTCAATTATATTCACTATATTTTCAATCTTTTTATTAAATTGTGTATTTAGCTTCTACAAACCGTATTGTTCTGCTTCTAAATAATATTATGAAACTCATCTATCAACAATATAAGATTTGTCATTGAACTATATGTGACAACACTAAACATATCATGATTAATGGTAAACCAAAGTCTTGTATGAACGAAAATCATACATAATGAAACATAAAAAGTTAAAGATAACAACTAACAATTATATAAACGTAAGAAATAATATTGAAAATTCAAAAAACAACATTATTTAAACTTCAAAACAAATTTATTTGTAACTTAACTTCAAATATAGTGTCAATCATAAACATTAGTAACAGCCAAAAAACACTATATATTAGACTAAATATTTGAGTTAATTATTCATATCATAACTAATTATTATAGGTACTCAATAATATATTAATGTGTTTTGGAAACATATTAGAAATTTAGATTGAGTATGATATAAGTTTTTTTGGAATTTTAAAGTTTCGGGTTCTTTCGGATATCCATTTAAGTTCGGGTTCGGTTCGGATAAAACTCATAATCCGAAATACCGTAAAACAAGATTCATTCGGTATTTATGTCGGGTTCGGATCGGTTCAGATTCCTTTTTATCGGGTCGGGTTCGGTTCGGATTTAGATGCCAAAAAAAAATGCTAGATATAATTACTATTTTATTGTTTTAAAGATGATTATAAAGTCACATTGTAAATTGTTGATTATAAATGACCTAGTAATATGATATAATACAAGATATATACAATTTATAATGTGACTTTCTAACTAATTAGTGACCTAGTAAAGATACAAGACCAGCATATCTATAATTATAAATGGAATTAGATGCCAAAAAAAAACTGGAATTAAAAAGCAAAAGGTGAAAGATCAAACATTTGCCTTGTTCACCCACAACGATCCAAGTATACAAATGAATTTGTCAAGATATTTAGAGAAGACATATATGCAAATGCAAATGCAAATGCAAATGCAAAAGCAAATACAAGATATTGACGTTAAGCATCTTCGTGACCACATAGATATTCAAGATACCATGTTTTTGTATGTACAATAAACCTTAATATTGGCATTAAATTTTCAAATTTTCTGCCCATTTGTATACATGATTATTTTCCGCAAATATTTGACTCAAGAAGTTTTATTGATTTCAAAATAATAAATGCTCCGAATTTAACCAGAAATAAATAAATAAATAAATAAATGCTGGTACACCTAATATTGTATGTATTTTCAATTGAAAAATGATTTTGCATTGCAAATTGTATATTTAGATAATTAATTAGAATAACATAAAAGATAAAGCTATGAAATTCTGTTGGGGCAAAATTAACCTGAACAATCAAATAAGAAAACTCTAGCAAACTATATATTATTTGTATTAATTATCATTAATTGTCACTAATTAGTTAGAAAGTCACATTATAAATTGTTTTAAAGATGATTCATGTTGATTAAAGAAAGAAGATTTAAAACATAATTGTTTTAAAAACAATATTTTTTTCGCCAAACAGAAGAAGTCATAACAAAAAAGTGAAAGACAAAATGATGATAAACATAATCATACCAATTATAAAATTTATATTATTAATCAACAAAAATAGCAACACACCAATACATGACATATGATAGCCTATATATATGCCCCAATATATATAAGTTTATTTATCCTTCCAACCAATCAAGATGCATGTAGTACTATAATTACATCATCACACCAACCCAAACACAAAAGGCTAAACTTAAAATAAAATAAAAGGGGGCAATAATACTAATAGTTTTTATAATAAACCTTAGTTTAATACATATTCATCATATCATTAGCCATGATGGGTTGGTTAGAGTAAACGGAACCACCCCAAGGATTAACGCCGCTCATCATCTCATCGTAATATCCGTCGCAATTAATCCCAACCGTACGATCATCGATCTGATCGTTGGTGGTAGTCACGAGATCGACGATCTCGTTCAACGCCTCGAGCCTGGTGCTCAGCTCCGACATCTGAGCGGTCAAGATAGAGTTCTCGGCTTGGATCTTCATGTAAAGCTGAGTTGTGACGGTGAGGCTCGTCAAGATCTGACGGTTGTCGTTTGAGAGCTGATTAATCTGAGCCGTTAGATCGTCCACGTGTTTCTGTTTACGCATCCTTGACCTACGCGCGGATTCACGGTTCGATAGCATTCTCTTACGCTTTCGGTCGTCGACGGCGACGACGGAGTCAGTTGGGTTTCCGCCGTCGGAAGAGCTCGAGCTCCGGTATGTGCTGCTAGATGACGCCATTTTATTCCGCCGCGAAATGGTTATGACAAAGAAAATTATTACAAGAACTTAAAAAAAGGACAGATTTGTTTTTATGAGGGTTTCTTTAAGGTTTGTCTGAAAAAAAAGAAAAATGAATATCTTATGTAATTAAGGATTAGATTCGGGAGTTTTCAGCAATTCATGAAACGTTGTAGAACCAGTAGAGGAAGACGACGGAGAAAGATTGAACGAGATGGGTTCTACGGCAGAGAGCAGATTTAACCGTGAGCCCAGAGAGCAGGATTTCGCAGATAACCGGAGTCATCAGTTTCCGAACATCAAATTTTCAATTTTTATTGTTTTTTTCTCGGTCTGAGTTTTGTGTTTGATGATAAAAACAGAGAAACAGATGAGTTGTGGAGAAGAAACAGAAGAGATTTTTAAATATTAAGAGCTGAACAGAAGAGATCTCTAAATATAAAGATTATGGAGATAAGGAGGAGAAGATGTGTGAAGGGGAAAGAGGTTTTTGAAGAAGGGTTTGTTGTGGATTATATAGAAGCCAAGTCTCATGCAGCCACTTGATTTTAATTTTCATTTGTTTATTTTATTTATATGGGTATAAATATGAAATAATAGATGGTGGTTCTGGAAGACCGCCCTTTGTTTTATCATTTTGTACAATTGAAACGATTTTATTTTTAATTACAAATCGGTAGGTGGGTGCACTTTGCTTTTTGAAATAAAAAGTTTATTTATGGTAAGTAGTAGATTTTTGTGTGATGTAATGTGTGGTTAATGCTACATTGGTAGGTAAATGTTGACCAGAAATCAAGATAAAAAGGAAAAGTAGTCAATGTGTCAAAATTGAATCTTGTTAGACTATGTATAATGATTTCAAGATTCAACATCTTCCAAATCATCTTTTTACATTTCACAACTTTTTTTTTCTTCCATCTGATCATTCAATATATATTTAATTTTTACTCATTACAATAATTTTGTTTGATAAAATTCACTATGTTTATAAATTAATTATTATTTTTAAAAATATCCAAATCAAATAAACTTAATCTCCATTGATAGAAAATTTAAAATGATAGATTTTCATATCAAAAATAAAAAGAAATTATTTAATTTATAATAAAATAATTGGTTTTAAAAAACAAAGAAAATATGAAAATGTAAAAAATAACTCTAGAAAAGTGACATGTGCCGTTAGTGTTCTCCATTTCTTTTTCTTTAACTAGTTGAATCTTTTCAACACAGTTTAATTTACATCAACAAATTTTATTTCTCAACACCCCCATTATAGTGATTCAACTGTTGAATCTTTTATTCAACACCCCCATTATACATAGTCTTAGAAAAAAAATGAAATTATTTACTAATATTCTTTACGTAACTCATCTTCTCTTTTTAATTAAATTTGATATATAAATATTTACTTCCTTGTTTCTGAAAGATTGTCACTTTAACATTTTTACTATTACATACAAAATATCATTTGAATTACAATATAATTAATTACAAATGTATTTATTTTATAAGTAACTTTATTTATCTTAGATACTTAGAATATTAATGAGTTTTAATCATTTTCTTAATCTATATAAAAATGTCAAAGTAACGCCATCTACAAAATGGAAACAAGAATAAGCATGATCCTCCGGTTGAATCAGTTTGTATAAAAATGTTTAGGTTCATTAGTTTCACTTAAAATTCCATCGGTACGGGTCTCCCTTTTAAAATAAACTAGATTTTGATCCGCGCTTGAAAAACACGGAAATTTTTTATGATTAAAAATTTATATAATTGGGTTTTGTCTTAATCTAAAGAATATTTTGATATAAAATCAGTTCACCAAAATTTGTGGTGATGACTGTTTTTCATTAGTTTTTAGTTTCAGCTTTTATTTTTAGATTTTGGTTTTTGGTTTTTGGTTTTTAGTTTTTAAGTTTCTACTTTTCATTTTCAGTTTTTGGTTTGGGTTTTTAATTTTTAAACCCGCTGAGTTAGTTTGAACTAATATTACCAACAAACAATTCTCAAATAATCGAACATCTAATTTAAAACTGAAAAGATGATAACAAATTTTTTTTAAAAAAAATTTGAAATAGTTTATTTTGTAAATAAACAAAGCAAAAAAATATAACATGTGTTTTCAGCTTTTGGTTTTGGATTTTAGTTTTTAGATTTGGTTTTTGGTTTTGTTTTACATTTTTTTAATCAGTAAATTATTTGAGAAAAATAAAACAATAAATTATTTAAAAATTACCATTGAAATTTATCAAAATAAAGTGATTTTTATTTAAAATAAAAAATATATTAACATGTTTTAAAGTACATGATTTAAATAAATGATTAATAATAGATAATTTTGTTTTGTTAAAAATATTAAATATCTTTTGGTTCTGAAAATAATAATTGATTTTTTGATCTTTTAAGGTGAAAAGTTTATTCAATGTTTTTGGAGTTTTTTTCTTAATACGAAGCCCAAAAACCAAACTATATAATTTGTTCAAAAAACAAAAGTAAGTCCAAGACTATATTCCATAAATAACCACTGGTTTAATTTAAGTATAATTAGTAGATTTCCATATTCAATATTCTGATGATATATATTCTTTTAGAACATTCCATATTTGTAGGAGAAAATATGTGTTTTCGGTATACACATAGATACCTGCCGTATTTTGAAGGTAGTTTACATTAAGGTCGTCTCTTTACATTAATTGTGTTGGTTTAATTTAAATAATACGGTTCAATCAATTATATGACTTATATTATTTGTAACATTCTAGAAGGGGTCCTAATTTAAATGACAACTTGTATCAGTAGATAAAAAGAATGACTCTATTTTAATAGAGTAGATTTACTGAATGATATTTTTGGTTTTAACTAAATTGACTTATATTTCTTCAAAAACTCATATAATTTTGTTAGTTCTATTTAAATTAGGTGTTTGCCTACAATTTTGCGGATATTTATATTATAGAAAAAATATATATATTATGTTTACACTATTATAATTTTTAAATAATAATTAGAAATTTTAGTTTTTAATTATAGATAGTTGGATGATAAAAAATTCCAGTGTATATTTTTAGAAGATCTATACGATTGAAATAGTTCAACAACATAAACCTTGGTCATTACAAATCTTTCTTTTATAGATAAACAATTTATAATTAATTCAGATAATGGGTTGTAAAATCACGTTACATTTTATTTTAACACATGAAAAAACTGAAAATACTCTAGCTTTCAAGAGAGAAAAAAACCTTTTGTAAACTTTTTTGTGTGGCCTTTAAAAACATAAAAGTTCTAAAAAATTCTTACCTACAAATCTAATCATTTTATAATAATATATAACCATTAAACTTTTTTCTATAAATAAAAAGTTAAAGCTTTTTATTTAATTATATATAAATAATTTATAAAAGTAAAGAAATTGATAAATATATATTATTTCTCTAATTATACAATTAGTTACCATAAAATTGTTATTTGTAATATCACTTCTGTTATTTGGTAGTTTGTATTAACTAGTTCTAGAGTTACCTTTTATTTTTAGATTTGATTAAAATAAATAACTAACAAAAGTGAAGAACCAATCAAATTATAACTATTTTTAAAATTTAACCTATTAACGACAAATAAATAAAAATCACTTTAGTGATTTCTCAATTACTGTATAGTAAAATTTATCTCTTTAAAACTAAAGATAAATTTGGTTAAGATAAACATAAAAACATGTGTTAGGAAAATTATAGCTTAAGCAATTTCTTTTATAATTTTGACAAATCACAAATTACATTTTTTCACTCATTTCTTTATTTAAGGTTTAACATAAAATTCAAATGGGTTAAACAAACAAATTCTTCCTTAGATTATCTCCAATCATCATCATATTTTATCAAACATTAGTGCATTGGATCAATTTTTTTTTATTAAAACTAAGCATACTTTTGATATCTTTTAGAAGTATTATTTAAATTTATTTTAAATTATTTTAAAACATACCTGTCCTAATTAAACATGATTAAATAATTTTCTATAAAGAAAAGTAATATTTTGAATAACACAGTGTCGTTATTTAGGCATATATACTTAATATTAATATGATATCCAATATTAAATAAAAATATTTTTTTATTTGCATAAAATTAGTTAAAATTTTATTATCGTACATTTTAAAAATTTATTATATCTCAAAATATATCTCATTATTTTAAAAATATTTTTTCTTGCTTTCAGTTTACATTATATTTTCCATCTCTGATTTAGTAAAACTGATCATTTTTATTGATCTTCCTTACTCAATTTATCTTAACATTTAAAAAAAAAACTAGTTCACATTTATAATGACACAAAAAGTACATGTATCTCGAAAAACAAATAAAAATTAAATACATAAGAATATAAAATAACAAAGAACACAACAAACAAATATATTTTATAATTCTTCCCTCATGTGTTTTAATTATTTTCCATAAAACTAATTAGTTCACATTTATAGTAACACAAAAATATATGTATTTTGAAAAACAAATAAAAATTAAATACATAAGAATATAAAAGAAGAAAGAACACAACAAACATATATATATATTTTATAATCCTTCCCTCCTGTCTTTTATGTCTCCTTTATTTTTTTCTATTAAAAATAAGTATATTAATTTTATTATAATCAAAGCTATGTGAATTATATTAATAAAATATAACCTCTAGGAAAAGCCCATGAAACATACTTTTATTATATAATTTTAAATGACTTACCATATAATAATTTTAAATGAACTATCATATAATAATTGTAAGTCATTTTTATATTAACAGATGAATTAAATAAAAGAAATCCTGATTAATATAATTTTAAATGACTTACCACATAATTTTATATTTAAAGTATAAATATATAAATCATTACTAAAAGTGATAATCATCTATGATATCACACTGTCATTGTAAAGTGATTGGAATTTCTTAAATTTATATATTTGTCTATTTTGTTATTTGACACATTTTTAGAAATA